CATCGGAGCCTGGTGTGTGAAATAACGGTGCTGAGCGGTTCATTTCCTTTTCCTTGGCCGTCAACAATGCGTCAAACACGCTCGTTACTCACGCGGTGTTCTCACCAGATGTGAGCTAAATTACGAAGGCACCGGGGGTCGAACGTAACTAGCCTCTTCAGGTCCGTTGCTAAAAGAGGCCAGGTTTCACAAACGTACAGTAGGGTCGAACGTACCGTTGCATTGTACACTCTACCCTTTAGGACAAGGGTGATGTCGCGCCGCCGCCATAAGTGGCGGTTAGCAAAAGCGCCCCGAGCTTTTCCTATACGGTTCGTGATCTTATCTTCAATCCCACGGGCGCTGGTACAACTTCCCAGGTAGCTGAATTTTGGAACGACTTCTAGCTGGTCCCCACCAACGGTCAACGAAGGAGGCGGTTCAGGCCAATCTTAAAGGAACGCTTTGCACTTTGGTGGTGCAAAGCAAAGCCAGAAGCGGCTGACAGCCAGTGCCAATTTGTCCAGTGCCGCTTGGCACATTTGGGAACTGCCACAGGGCAATATCGTCAGCATACTTCCAAGTCAAGAAGTCGTTCTCCTGGAAGAAAACCCATTTCTTCTATCTCTTGTCCTGTGAATGCGATTTCCATGACTTCGACAACAGCGAAGTTAAAGAGAAAAGGTGACAACGTGCATCCTTGTCTCACGCTGCTGGAGATATTAAAAGGCGACGACAACTTGCCGTAAGCCCTCACTCTGCCCAAGCTACGCGCATATAATGCTCGGATAATATTCACATATTTCTCAGGTACACCTTTCCTGAGTAGACAGTCCCAAAGTGCATGTCTCCACAGAATCGAATGCACCTTTGATATCGAGGAACACGAAAACTGTGGACCGCCAATATATGTGACGGTGCTCCAGCAACTGACGCAAGGTGAAGGTGTGGTCAATGCAGCCACGACCTCGACGAAATCCAGCTTGCATTTCACGAATCTGGCTTTCACGAGCGCCAGTCAGTCTGTGAAGGATGACAGAGGCAAGCAATTTGGAGGTCATGGAGAGCAGACTGATTCCTCTATGATTGCCGCATTCCGATCGTGAGCCTCCATTGAAAAGTGGGACTATGACGGAGCGACTCCCATCGGTTGGAACAGTTTCCTGCTCCCACAGTTTGACTAGTAACTCGTGTAAATCAACCACAAGAGCAGGTCCCCCGAATTTAAAGAAGGCTGGAAGATCATTAGGTCCCGCGGCTTTATTTATTTTCAACAGTTCGATCTCACGTTCGACTTCTGAGCGAGAGGGTGGATCCAAAGGGACAGCCCAGAGAGCGAGACGATCAGTGGTCGGCGAGAAATCTAACCATTCCGACCGATTAAATTGCTCAGCCCAACGCTCTAAGCGTTTTGATAAGTTGTGGATAGGCTGTCCACTCTGGTCACGTAGTTTCACTTACACCAGGTCTCCTGCTGCCCGTTTCCAGTATGACGGAATAACTTAAGATGGTTATCAAGGGCAGCGGCCATTACCATCTCTGATGCACGATGAGACCACCAGGATTTGCAGTCTCTCTTCAGGCTAGCACGGAGTTTTGCCCGGAGCTCTTTGCGAGTTTCAATGTGTTCGCTTCCAGCCGGGATATGCCGCCGAACATCGATAAGTTTCAGAGAACGCGAAGAGACCTAATATCCATGTCGGCTTTTAAACATACCACATGAGGATTTGCCTGCTGCTAGTAAGGTCTGGCGAACATGTGACCAGTAACCATCAGTTGTCTCCAGTAAGCACTTACTCAACTCACATGTCAGCGTACTTCGATACGCATTCAGAACCGCGGACTTTGTCAGTTGGCTGGTGTCAATGCGCTCATAGCGTCGTCGTGGGGGACCGCCAATACTCATCCGCATGTTGGCTTTTAAACATACATGAGGATTTTCCTGTTGCTAGTAAGGTCTGGTGAATATGAGACTAGTGACCTTCAATTGCATCCAGTGAGCGTTTATCCAACTCGCATGACAGCGTAGTTCGATACGCATTCAGAACAGCTGGCTTCGCCAGTTGGCTGGTGTCAATGCGCTCACGTCGTCGTAGGCGTCCGCCAAAGCGCATCCGAAGGTCAGCACATACAAGTGCATGGTCGGTGTCCACACCTGTGCTCCAAATCGAGCGACAGTTCTGGATGCAGCCTCTCCAGCGGTAACTTATCGCAATGTGATCGATTTGCGTCCATAGCTGCTTCGACGTTGGTGAGCGCTAAGTCACTCTACGGCGGGTGCTGTCTAAAATTAGTGCTCGCAAGAAATAAGCGAGCATACTCACACAAATGAAGTAACCGCTCAACGTTATCATTACGGGAGCCTATACCAGGTTGGCCGCCCAGATGCAGCTCATCTGTGGATAACTTTCTAACTTGGGCGTTCAGATCCCCAGCCAGCATTAGTGTCCGAATTTCTTCTGTGGCGAAGGTGCTCGTTCAGTTGACGATAGAAGTCGTCTTTTACCGAGTCATCGCTACAGTTTGTCGGTGCATAGGCAGCGATAACGAATGGACACCTGTTAGTCACAAGCGACTTCGAAGTTTTGAAGGAGCCAGCCAATCGGACCGCACAAATCCGGCAACTGATTGGAATCCAACCAACCAGATTAGCTTCAGCCCGGGGACTCAGGGCAATACCAACACCGGCTTGGCCAGTGCTTGAAGCTGCATCGTCACCGGATAGGCGCAATGTGAAAGTGCTGCTAGTGTCACCTGAAGGGGATCGTAGAGTGAGCACAGAGCTCGAGTCTTGCAGGCGGGTCTCCGATAAGCAGCAGATATCGATTGAGAGGGTCTCTAATGTTTGGGCAAGTGCTGCCTTTAGACCGATCTGAAGCAATGTGCGAACACTGAGGCATGCCAATCTGAAGGAGGATCGAGGGCTCCAAATGGAAGCCGATGAACTCGGGGGCACCGCTTGCTTAGACATGAACGCCTGACATGACAGGAATGACGAACCGCGTTCACATGTGAGTTGACACAAAAAGACAAGCGACTATTGAAGCAAGGTGGGGGAAGGCCGAGAATTGGGAGATTAAAAACAGGGGGGATAAAAGTGAAGTTGGAACGGGACGGTAAGAGTGAAAAAGTGTAAGAGGATGAATAAGAAGACGGGAAGGCTTGAGCAGTAGCATCCAAACCCCTATCCACCCTACTCGATGCAGCAGTTGGGGCACCGCTGATTATCCTCTGCGGTGGCCAGAGCATAAAAAATTTCTTTGAATTGAGATTCAGTGTACTGCGTGGGCAGGATACTGTCAGGTTGCTTAAGCCTAGACAGGAGAACGATTAGGGTTCTCAACCAGTCTTTGATTTAAAAACCTGTCCGCCAAGCAGCGGGTTTAGCACTGGGCTGCAAGGAGTCCGTTTTAAGGAATAAGGAGCCACCCTCATTCCAACCCCCAACCTGGAGGACCAGGAGGCTGAATTTGTCTGGCCTCTAATCATTGACCAATCTGGTATGAGTGACTCTGAAGGTGTAAAAATGCACCACCCAGTATAGCTCAATGGATCACTGAGGCACACAAAAAATCGCACTACGGTCCAGCCTCATTGCGATGGCGAGAGTCTGAGCAATTCCATCCACGAAATCAAAATCCCGCATAGCTCAACGGATGGTTGACGCACACAAAACATCGCACCATGTCCAGTTTCATGATGATGAAATAACCATCATTAGTACACGTTAGCTGAAGATGACAAACACCTCAGCCATTGTGCAGCAATACAAAAAGACGAAAGCAGGTGAGAACAAACATTGCAGATTACAATATGAAAATCGAAACAAATATAATAGTAATGTGGCAGTTGTACGCCGTAACGGCATTCCGCTGCCGCGCGATCACCACCAGTCGTGCGCAGGCTGAGTATACTGTGAGGACGCCTACCCCTACGCGGATTGCAGCCGGTTGCAAACCAAGTGCGCAGACCACTTGGCCACCGGCCGACCAAAACAAATGAATCAGATGTAAGACGGTGAGTTGAAGTAAAATATAAGTACAACACAAACGCCACCGAGGTCGTTTTCTTGCCATGTCAAGAAGCATGCTTAATAACTGTTTATCATTCTTGGGATTTTGGTTAGAAAGTCGGGAGGCATTAACCGACGCAAAATTCATAGTGCCTCTATACCTCATCAGCAATTCAGCGAAGAGACAGGGCAATCTAACTTAAGCAACACCTAGCGGGGTATTGAGGACGTCTACCACCATGTACTTAAAAACCGCGTCTTAAAAACGAACTGCAATCTTTCACGGAATACCTCTGCGTACCGATTTTACTGCGTGTATGTATGTAGTCTCAACAGTCTAGCAACTAGACATAGAAGCAACAAAGCCATGGAGATCAGTGGAGAGGAGACAGTCATTGGGTAATAATCATCGTGGCATGGTAATTGAAGGTGGGCAACACACTTCAGTTAATATGCCGCAAGAAGAATCGAACATTTTGACAAAAATGGAACAAAACCTTTTTATTTTGTTTTTCACACGCCGATATTTTTCTTTTATGTCATTTTCAATATTGGTAGTATTAAACATGTGAATCAATACAATGCACACAATTCTTCCACTGACATGGATATAGAACCGCAGTTGGTTCTAGGAAAAACAACCTGGTAGCATAATCTAAGGACCCGTTAAAGCGCTACTAGATGAAACTGTTCTAAAAGCAGTCGAAGTCGGCGGACGTGAAGACAACACGTATACGAGATGGTTTCAGGTGCAAAAGCTATACCGGGGTTGCAGCTGGAATTTCTTACTATGATAAACTACCAGCAACAGTCCTTTATTACTTTAAGGGTGGGCTTGAAGTTTCCACTTAAGTATATACTAACGCTCAAACGCTCCTTTGAACTTTGTTTTTAAGCTCTCATTTTTCTGGGATGCTTAGTTTGGAGCCGCAGTTAAAAAGAGCAAGCAAGGAAAATTAGCAGTGTTTAAGGTAGACAGTCTAAGCAATCCTCGGAATATGAAACGTACTTATCGTCGCTAGGTTTCAACTGTCCACTTCCCTGAACCCAATTTGCTCTAGTTGGTCCTAATTTTCGAGCATCCTGAGGCTGCTGTGTCACCGCAAGACTTGAGGGTGTGACTGGATTAACCGACTGAACGGATCTGCGCTCTGGAAAATAAAAGTAACCGAAACTGAACAAACTTGAATCAGGAACAGACTGAAGATACTGCCAGCGAAGTTTTTCTTCTGTCGGCCGTCGAGAGATAACATTTGGTTGAGCCGGAAGATCCTGATTGTAGGTCATTTCCTTCCAGCCACGCTCGCGCAAATCACATAGCTCCTGGATTTTAAACACTTGGTGTGTAGGTAGCTTATTTGATTTGATATGCCCATTAAGTCGAGAGAAACAAGTGTCCAGAATGTTTTTCGCCTGTATTTCTAACTCTGATCCACAAATCTGTAAAATAATAAGCATTGATCTCAAGGCCTCCGGTGCAGCTGAATCCTTAAGCTTGTTTAGACAATCTCTCATAGTTTTTAGAGGCACCAGCCGGCACAGGAATAGTTCAGATAGAAGTGTCATGTTTCCGTCATATGCTTCTTTCTTTTTTAAAACGTTGGTTTCCCGGTCTTCGTCTAGTATTCGCTTTACAGCCTCGTCTTTAGCAGATGCAATTTTTGCATCAATGGCGACGTTCAGATCGGATATCAATGTCTACAAGCAAATGTTTGTTTATATGTGCAATTTACATCCAGTGGAGTGTTGAAAAGATCCTGAACTTGTCGCAGAATCAACGATTCAAAGGATTCAGAACCAGGCACCTCGAACTAGCTTCCTTAGAGTTTAAACAAACAACATACCCCTTTTAACTCCTTGCATAAAGTGGCAAACACCTTGCTGTATTTAGGCTGACGAATGCCCTAAATAAAAGAAAATGAGCCATGAACTGGGGAACCTACCTTTTGAAAGACAAGTTTAGCAAGTAGTTGTAAGTCGTCAGAAGAGGATAACTCCAGCCTCCTGATGTCAGTAACCGTTTCGGCCAGATTTCCATCAGAAACACGGTTGAGAATCACATTGAGCTCCCGTGAGAGCGCCTTCGGCTTGTCATTTTCAGCCGTACCATCTTTTTTACGGAGGGATGTAGGTACGAAGGCACCTTCTACTGTCTTCACTGTAATACCAGTAGGAAGCCTAATTATCCGCTGAGGAGCCCTATGGGGATTACGACGATACTAGAAATGGGTGATGGAGAAAGAAAAACTCACTTTCCACTGGTTGGCAGGGTTTGTAATAACCTAAACTGACGTAACCAACTAACGAAATAAGACACCTTACCGCTAAATGCGGAAGACTTAATATAGCAGCCGGCGCCTCCTTGAGTGATAGCAAGAAATCCCGAGAATACCTCCGCCGAAAAAGTGTGTCATCGCTGTCGCTTTCATCAGTTTCTGTACACGACTCATCTTCCGTCGACTCAACATCCAACCGAGTTTGATCGACCGCGGGAGCACTGGAAAATTTGTCCGATAGCTGCTCTGCAGACGGTGCGATCTTATCCGAGGGAATAAAGAGAGTAGCTAACTCTTCCGTAGATTCGAATTCAGGGACAGTTACAGAACAATCGGTCATGAGTGACGAACCGTCATATGGCTGAATGGGTTCGCTGGAAGTTATCTTTGAGTCGTGCATGTCCAAGGGCGCAGTAGGACTAGCTAGATCTTGCGTTTTTGTTTCTGATGTTACTGTCGGCTCGTTGGATTCTTCCACTGGCACTTCGTTGGATGCTGATCCTAGATCAACAATGACGCCAGTGTCTGGATGCTTGACGGTTAGGGGACACTTTTCACGGGGCTTTGAAAGTTTAACCGATGGAACAGCCGCAGCTGACACGGGAATTTGCCGATGCATGGAGCTTGTAGTTGGCGGCTGAGTCTGAGCACTTTGCAGAACTTGAGGAAACGGAAACTGGTGGTACGACTGTTGTGTCATAACATGCCCATAGTCCTGAGTGCTGTTTGGCATATGACTGTGCATTTGCGTATCCGGAATAGTCGGTGCATATGCGCACAGCATTGCGGGCTGCGGAAGATGCCTATATAAGAGTGGATCCGGACCCCGAACGGGGTAGACAGGAAAATATGGGTTGTGCATGTGCGCTACATTAGAAGGGAAGTTGACGCCGTCTGGAAAAGATAAATGAGCAAAACCGGGCTCACCTAAACGAGAGTTTGCCGGTGTTTGCTAAAAACAAAAAAGAAAGGAAGCGCGAGAATTACAAAGACGATAAAATGTGAAAACATAACGCTGAACTCGTCATCTTACGGTCCTAGCGCAACCAACAGGGACAAACGAAGTGGCTGGCTTCAGATAAACCTGTGCGAGAACGCCAATTTTCGTGTAAGAATAACCAAGTAAGCATGGTTTTACTTACATAAAACATGGGCTGAAACAGAATAGATTACAGAACTAAGCGATGCTCACCACCATACATGCTTCCGGTGTTCTACCAATCCTGTTTAACAATATTTATGAAAGTATAGACAACTTACGTTTGAGTGGGAAATAAATTCGTTTGGTGTAACTGTTGCTGTTCACTCATCTGATAACGAAAGACAAGCAAAAAAACGATGTGATTAAGGGCAGTGCGCCTACCCCAACCACGGAACCTCAGAAACGTGGATATCAGAGTACTTAAACAAGACACGTGGACTTAAGGCCGTCGCACCAGAACATGGCGAATTACTTGGATGACCAAAACCGCGAAAATCCTTGTTAATATCTCTGGACGATGTACACTATTATAAGTAGCGCTTCAAGGCGGTCTTCACGTTCAAATAAATACTTCCGAACCCAGTGGCGCTAAATTAAAAAATTTTACAACTCCATTTTCTGATATTCTATGGAGTGACAACATGCTTGTAATAATAATTAACAAACATTTGTCTGTTTTTCTGTGATATCAAGAGTATGTTAGGTATTTAGTTGTACGCAGTCGTTCGCCGCTTCAAATCGTACAATTTTACAAGATCAAGTTAAGTTGGGAGCGAAAAAGTATAGTCCCGTGAAAATTCCTCTTTTGGCGTACCGTTGAATTAGAAAGGGATAGGACTGTAGAAATTTTTTAAAGCCCGAACCGAAAGCTGCATCCCACTTTTTCCATCCAATTACTTCCCACCTTTTCAAACTCAGCAATCCCTGCCATCACGGTTTACATAAAGTAAGAAAGAGTGAAGGGAAAGATTAATTCAATTTCAACTTTAAACGTGTCTGGTACCATAGGATTGTCCTGTCTGTGTTCATTCGTCTGCGGCCTGTTGAACCAGGTGTTGACCGACTTTGAAATACAGTGGAACTTAGTATGAAGACCGCAACACACCATGTCTATCCAATTAATGCGCGCGTACTTTGCCCTAACAGTCGCTGCTGGGCCGGTCACGTAAAGTAAAAATTGAAACAGAGCTTTGGAGGAAAAGTGGCAGAAGAGGAAAGAGCTAAACAAGTATAATACCAAGAAATTTGAGTCATTAAAAAGCACTGAAAACTGAAGTTGAGTCAGTAAGAAAAATTGAAATGTTTGGTGTTGCCACCCAAGTGAAGGGGGCTGACGCGAACAATCCTTAACCATTTGTTCCCGAGCGATATGCTGGGGAACCTGCTGAATATTTTGCATTCAAAACCTATCAGGCCGGGTTCAAACAGTTCCATTGCTGATGCCGGAGCTTAAACTAAATAAAATAAAACCTTTTTATTCTCGGTAACGCGACGACACGTCTTTACCGTTATGCTCATGGTGTGATAACAAAGTGGAATCAACTAGTTACTAGAAGATAGTACTCTTCTTCAAACCGTGATGGTGTACACGGATATGTGTGTGTAGATGTGCACAAGCGTCGCAAGTAGTTTGTGGTTGCAATTTTGCCCTTCTATTTGTGACTGTTTGATAGCGTCGGCTTTGTAAGAATAGACGATTGTTGTCTGTGGATTAGAGGTGTTTATGCAGATATCTATGGGGCGGTGACATTAGTTTGTGGTGAGTTATGTGCGCAAGTCATAGCGGACATGCGTGGAACTTTATAGTGATAACACTTGCTAGACGACAACACCACGTTCTGGAACTCTGCAGCCAAACTATTCTCTGGAACGGATTACCTTCAATCCACCCAACTGGCACCAGAAGTAGGTATTTCGACCAGGCAGCCCTAGTTAAGTTTGCATAACTATATAATCTTGACAATTCCGGCCCAACTTTAAGCTTCAAAATACGATAAGTGCTAATCAGGTCTTCTCTCAAACTTCGGTAGTGCATGAAGTACGTCCCCAAAGTAAGCAAGCGCTCTGGATAGATCAGTCTCTGTAGACCCAGCACCAAACTAGTACCCACTCGTAACGCCCAATCCAAGTCCATTTCATCTTGGAGCAGACCTGGTGGAGAAGCCTGAATACAATATTCCTCGTAAGCCCGACGAAAGCCAAAGATAGGTTTACAAAAGAACTGGATGTTAGGACTCCGAAAGTGCCGTGGATAAACCACGTTATTCAAAACCCCCGATAAGCAGCGTACTTCCAAGCCTTGCCAGGAAAACACTGCTAATGGGTATAAGACCCCTAAATTAACCTGCTGGGTGACAACAAGGGTTTCACCACCGCTGACAAAAGATAAAAAGGATAAGCATTTTTATTAGTTATGAGTAGGAGGATTTCTTAATGGTAATGGGTTCGTTCCAGCGTCTAACAAGCTACGTAGAACAACTTGGTCCGGAACATTATCTGACGTCTTTCGCCCGATTGGGGCTCGTCAGTGGCGCTCAATCACGGTCCCCTACGCGGGATCGAACCCATGACCGTAAGGGGCGGAAGCCAAGAAACCAACACCTTAAGCCACAGGGCCATAGGGGAAACGTTAGCTCTTGTAAATAGCTAAACCCTCTCCAGTTACATATTGCCCCTTACCAGACAAAAATAAACAAATAAATAAATAAATAGTTTGTACTCGTCCTTGCGAGGTACCCCATTTAGGGCATGATCATGGTAATACAGACAAGTATGATCGGCAATTGCACAAATTGTTATATGTTGACAAATAGCTTAGGAAGGTATGTGTCTGTTCACATATAAAGTATGCCTACGACGGCATTTGGAAGTAGCCATGTTTTGGGAGTAGTTAACTGTGTCCCGGTGTGTTAAGTTCGTTAGGTTCCCCATCAAAGGGGAAAATCCATAGAAAGCTGCGAATAGGATGACGTTCGAGATGTGTGAACAGTCCTTCGGAAAAGGGAACAGGCAGTGCCTATATGTAGTGGTGAGTCTCAACCGCCAGGGCACAGTATTGTTAAACGGATTTCTGTGGTATTTTATAAGGAGAACGCTTGCCAGGCGAAATCCCGCCACATCCTGGAACACTGCCGCCGAACGGTTTACTGGAACGGTATTTACCCGAACCACCCAGCTGGTGCCCCGGGGAGGTTGTTCAGCTAGCCAGCCAACTTGGCGCACAAGTCTGGCTACCACACACTAAGTAGTGTCACACAAAAGCTGAGAGCAATTTCACAAAGTATCTGTTGCAAGGACACCGAAGGAGCAGAGAACAAACCACACCATACGGAATCCTCTGCAAACATCCTTCTTCCCATTGTCCCTAGCTTGCAGGGCTGATGTGTAGACGCGGCCAGGAGTAAACTGCTGTGTGCGAACTAGGCTTTCTCTTCCGTCAATTACATAACTTGTTGGGTGACTTGCATCTCCAAGGCAGAGGACAGAACATTTCGTCTGCTTTATAGGCATCAACGTTATGGTTAAACAATCCCGGAGCCTATCCATAGCACTCCGAATTGCCCCAGCGCCCCAGGGATGTCAATGATCTTCCGGGGCTTTAGGTCATCAACACACATTAGCGGCGGCACTTCGAGCTCCTGAGGTAGGTCACTGAAGTAGATTTCGAAATGCAACGGTCCCAAACCTTGCTCTGTGGAACGCCAATAATGACAGCTTGTTTTAGAGAATGGTTAAGCCCCAGGAGTATGCACTGTTTTCTCCCCTCTAGAGAAGCCGAGACATTAAAAGGCGTCTTCAAACATCCCATACGATCCTTAGCTTATGGAAGTCGTTGAAGTGGAACAGTATCCAAGACTTCCGAGAATTCAGTGAAAACACATCCATAGAGTAACCGATGTCTACTGCCTCAGCCTACAGGAGCTACAGGTAAATTCAACGGACACAAAATCCAGTACGGAAACAGTGTACTGCAGCAGTAAGGGTAACTTTACGCAGGCGGTTCTCCACCGCTTCACGGACCAGCTTTTCAAACAGCTTAACTGCCACACTTGTCAAACTGACAGGCCGGTAGCTCGCGTGTCGAGCGCTGCCACCGCCCTCAAAAATCGTACAGCTGCTAGCCTCCTTCCATTTCGAAAGTAAGGCGCACTTGTCATGCGATATTGTAAACACGCATGTAATAGGGCCACTTTGCACATCGGCCCATTCTTGCGTTAGCTTCAGAAGGTTTGCACCGGGGCCAGAAGCTTTGGAATGGTTTCGCCCTTGCAACAGCCCGAAGGCTGCGTCTCCGTTGAGCTGATTTCAGTTTGGCAAGTATCCTCCGGGACTCTTGTGGCCAGCCCAAACTGAGGTGGAGAGGTCTCACAGGTAAAGCTACCAGTATAGTGCGTGTAACTTATACAAATCTTGTCATGGTCGGTATGCATATGATTCACGTCCGCGTGTTTGTACCGCTGGGCCCCTACTTATGCAAAGAAGTTGGTTCTGTTACCGCTGCCATAGCCAACTGCTACTCGCATTGAAGGCGTGCAGTCCTAAGTTGTTGCTTACATTTATTTTTAATCGCATGATAGCTTTCGTACGTGCTGGTCGACGAAGCCGCTTGGTAAGTTCCCCAACACTTCGAGCGCTTCCTGGTTTTTTGTTTACCCGTATGATCTACGCAAATAGACTACGCTCTGTGACCCTTTCCTTAATGAGTGGGATGTGGAGAACTTTGTAATGAAACAGCTAGCACATGGTTTACATATGTGTAACAGGCAACCGTGATTGAGAAAACTATCAACCTTTGGTCTACTGTAATTAACACCAAAATTCGCTGTGCAGTCCATGTGCCAGTTAAGTCTCTTAGCCTACAGCATCGATGTGTGCGAGCTACGTTCAGCGCAAGGAAAGACTCCGCTGAATCCTTATCACTCTAAAACCCAGAGTTCTCCGGGCTCTTCTTTACCACGGTTTTCCAGCTGCAAACGCGTCAACCATAACCAGATTGAGGGTAGTGAAATCCACGCTGTACGCAGCAATGGGATGAAACTATCTTTACACTGGTAGGCATTTTGGGAAACGGACGACTTTGCAGATGATAAAGTTAGCCGAAATTGTGCCTAGATCTCGTCTTCCACCCAACCATATTAACAAGCGGAGTCCCTGAACGGCGGCTCCCAGTGTAACGGCAGGGTTGCAGCTAACCGTTTTGCTTTAGCGTACCCATCAAAAAAGTGGTTAACTAGTCATTTGGCTTGGGTTTACCAATAGCATAGTTAGTAACCTCCGAAAGGGCACAATAAATGTTTATTTTGTGTTGTTGAGAGGTTTGCCTTCTGC